AGATTTAGTTGTTTTTAAATGCTGTCCACAGAAACCTGCTGGATGTTTCTACAGAACAAACCACCTCAAGGTGGCTCAACCCACTCCATCATTTTTTTTTGGTTTGTTCCTGAAGAAAAAAGCCTTCACTGACCCCCTCCTGCTTTCAGAATGATGCTTTATCATCTTTATTATTGCTGCAGTGACGTCTAAATTTCAGACACCTTTCCAGGAGGCACAACTCTCTGTCTTGTGTCATGAAAACAACACAATTGTGTGAGGTTTAAAGCATAACAGATTAAATTGGCTGTTGCCTGGGAGCCGCCCTGATGTGCCTGTTTGAATCGGAGTCGTTCTCATGTGTTCATGTGTTGTTTCAAGCTGTGACTGCACTGCATTCCTCATAACCACGTCCCTCCAGGTATCACCAGGTCTAATGTGAGACTGTTGTTTTTGGATCACAGCCAAACCTCATTCTGTGCTCATCTGACTGTTTCCCTCCCACATTTGTTTACATTCCACACAGGAAGTCATTCACTGATCTGGACCTTTGCAAAAGCTTTTTAGTAAACCTGTTTGGGACCCTGAACAGCAGCCATGATCAGCTCTGAAGGATTCAAAGCAGAACCAGCTTTTTTTCTCCAGCTGCAGTTTGGCTGCAGAAACATCTGGATGTGAGTCTGGAAACAGTTTTTCTCTCCAGCTCTGACCCCCAGATGTTCTGTTTAACACGTTAGAGATCATGATGGTAATTCTCACACATCTCCATGAACAGACACTTTATACCAAGATCAAAACAGGAGAGAAAACTGGTTTACTAACTTTATATAAAATTGAAAACAGTTCAGTTTGTTGGCCCCGCAGGGATCTGCAGCTCTCATGCCAACAAGACACACCAAAAAAATAATGGTAAAAATAACGGTGTGCAGTCTGTGAGGTTCAGATCTTGATGTGTTATCAGTGCATAGAAACAGAAAACAAACGTTTTTCTGCATGATCTCATTAATAGGTGCACACAGTGCAGATCTGTCCTGATGGACTTCAGTCACCTTCAAAGCCAAACCAGTTTCTGTTAGTTCCTCTCCTCCTTGTGTCTGACTCCTCTGACCCCACACAGACTCTCCTCCCTCCACTGAAACAGTACCCCCCCCCCTCCCTGAAAGACTCCCATTATTTTCTGTGAGTATTTCTGCTTCCTGTTTGTGGGTCTGAACCTCCAACGTGTTTCTAGCAGCAGAGTTTCTCTCTCAGAAATGCAGTCGGCCCGAGTCTCCAGGAGGCCCAGTTTGATTGTGGGGGCGTCTATTTCTGCCAGTAACACTGATTACTGACCACTCACACCCCCACAGGAAACCCATTTCATTTTCTAATCTGTTTACGTGAATTCACTTTGACTATTTGTAGTCAAATTGTGGAAGCAGACAACAGATTTACTGACTTTTTGATTCCAAATGACTGATTTACAACATTTTAATTCCACAATAAGAACATGATTAGTGTAAAATGTCTCAAACTATTTTCCTTTAGATTTCAAACAGTAGTGTCTGATAGCGTCTGCTATGAGGCCAAGAGGTCAAAGGTCAAAGAAGGATCTTGGTACAGAGAGGCAGATATAATATTTCAGTTCTGAGAAAATGTGCTTTTGTGCAACATTTCAAACTAATCACCATGTAAAATTGAGATTCAGAAGTGGAATGTATAAGATAATATCAAAATCAAAATAAGACTACATTCACAGATATTCATGTCATCTGGGGATGACCTCATACCTAATTAAGTTGGGTTGGTTGGTTGGTGTGAATCAAACCTGAGCTACTGGGTCCAGTAAGGGGGAGAACCAATGTGGAACATTCTTGTTGTTTTAGTGGAAGGAAATGAGGTAAAAGTCAGCTTAACATTAACTATTTACATTTTTCAAAAAGCTCATAGGTTTTTGTCCTCCACATCTGCAACTACATAATGATCACACTAAACTCTACTTAATGATATAAAAATAGGAATGAAGTGTGGAGTGACTGTCATATGTTGGAGATTAATCTGATGTAAAAGTCCATCTACAGATGTAAAACAGATGTAAAAGTCCATCTAAATTACAGTTGTTCTTCACATCAGCACAACTTTGCTGCATGTCGTCAGTATTTCCCTAATCTGAACCCGCCTTGGAGAAAAAGTCAGGTAAGAGGGTGTGTTTCTTGTAATCATTTCACACTAGACAAACAAGAACTTCCAGGTTGCTTGACAAAAGAGGCGTTGTTGGTTGTGCGATACCTCAAATTCTTATTGTGGCAGTCATGCCACCCTGCGAGATGTTGGTTAGACAGCACCCGCACACACACTCTCTATCGCACAAACACGCAGGTGTGCTCAATCACCTCCCCAGGCACTGCTCACCTGAACCTCTTCCCGCCCACATCCACATACCACCACCACCTGACTTAGGCCTAACCAACCCCCCCCCCCCCTCACCATGGAAACGGGAGAGGAAGTCGGCCATGACCATCTGCGTCCCCGGCCTATGGAGCACCCTGACCTTAAACGGCTGTAAAGCCAGAGACCAACGGGTGATCTTTTTATGGAGAGAAAGAGAGGTGAAAGGACCCCTTGCTTTTTTCTGTGGACTTTTTGTGCCATTCTGACGTTGTTGTGTTCATAAACCGTACGTTTGGCATTTCTTGTTTATGAGCGAGCTGTTTCATGCTAGTTTGCAGAATGTCGTAATTAATTTCAGCGTATGTCGACGATGTTTGCGTTTACAGCGTGTAACGCGATTAAGTAAACAGTGAAGTGATAACTTTTTCTTGCCGTATAAAACGGAGATGAAGCTGCTAATTTGATTATCTGTTTATATAACGGTGTAGTATATTCATATAGTTGTGTTTAGTTAGCCATTGTCCACGTGTGTTAGCATTGATTAGCCATGTTTGCTATTAATGTTGTAGTTACCACGCATATGTTTCTAATAGGCACTGTTATATTCTGTTTACCTATAGAAACCACAACCTCACAACTTCACAACCTTTCTAACGTCAATGTAACAACTCAATATCAAACTGCAATAAATACTCTGGACCTGTTCATCATGCCTGCATTTTAATCAGATGCCACACGGTGGCTCCTACAGAT